TGTGTGTGTAACCTGTGTGTGTGTAACCTGTGTAACCTGTGTAACCTGTGTGTGACCTGTGTGTGTAACCTGTGTGTGTAACCTGTGTGTGTAACCTGTGTGTGTAACCTGTGTGTGTGTAACCTGTGTGTGTGTAACCTGTGTGTGTGTAACCTGTGTGTGTGTAACCTGTGTGTAACCTGTGTGTGTGACCTGTGTGTGTGTAACCTGTGTGTGTAACCTGTGTGTGTGTGTGTGTGTGTGTGTGCAGGCCCGGCTGTAGTGGAGCACCACCTGCCTCGTCTCCTCCTCCTGTGGCGGTGTGTGTTTCCTGCTTCACTCAGAGAGCAGGAGATGGAGCTGAGACGCGGGGACTACTTTACGTGGCAGGTTACGCTGGAGGGACGTGCTGGGGCGCTCTTTGGTCAGTCCCACACTGCTGCACTATTTTATGTGTTCGATTTATTCCCTATTTGTGTGATTTTCTGTTTATACATATTTTATGAGAACCGCTTCAGGGAGCCTGAGATCAATACTTTCCCTTCATTGTTTTATCTTATATTATTTATTTAACAGTTTCAATAGCAACATTTTTTATCTAGTATCTTTTTACTTTTATTTCTGTTTCTGGGGAATTTCTTGTGGTTTAGTTTTAACTTGTAATGTGTGCCATTTTGTAAAGCACATAGAAAAGTGCTTTATATATAAGCTTTATTATTGATATTTGTTGTACATTAAAATACCTTAATGGCGGCAGCTTAAAGTGGACCTATCATGCTATATTTTAATAATATAGTGTAGGACCATACCTATATAAGGCATATTTATACTTTTTTTTTTTCTAAATACCAAACAGATCATGCATTTTAGCCATGCCTCATTTTGCTCAATTTGACATTTTTTAGCTCTGTTTTTGCAAGGGCAGATTCAGTGAGAACAGCACCACCTACAGGCCTGGCATATGTACTACAGCGTCTCCAGCGCTTTCGAACGGCAATGGCCGTGGCTGTCTCCTCCTGATTGGTGGAGTTGGCCCAATAGCCGTAGCGCCACCGTCCTGACGTCAGGACAGTGTTCAAATCTGGATCAGTTTTTATCAGATCCGTTGCAGCCCCTTTTTTAGAGATTTGGGTATGGAGGAAAATAGAGAGGGTTGTGTTTTCTGACACTTGGTGAGTTCCCTGGAACACCGGGGACACATATTCATGTAGAAAAGACGTACACAAGTGCATTTTGCATGATAGGTCCCCTTTAAAGTAGTCATACAGGGAATTATGACTCTCTTTTGTAAGCACAGCATGACGCAGTAGGAGGGATCTTTGTGTTCAACTAACCATCTAAGAGCTGAGGTTAACAACAAACAAAGACATCAAAATAAACTGAGTGTGTGTCTTTCAGCGATGAAGAACCTGCTCCTTCACTGCAAGGAGCTCGTCAGCGATGACATCATGAGCCGTCTGCTCACGCCCCTCTCCTGCGCCGTCGCCCTGCTCACCAAGTCAGTCGCTTTATAACACAAATATATATATAATACATTCAAATCAGAGCTGCATGCTATTGGTAGAAGAGGACTTTTACTTTTTCAACGTATTTAATAATTTGAAAAGAAAATACAGTAATTTTCAGCAGATGAAATAAAACTGACTCGGCCTTCAACAAGAATTATTTTCTCATGATAACTGAACGGTACAAAAAAGTAGTTAGTTTGCATTATTTGAACTTGCTCTTCCTGTTCTGTTTATGTGCACATCCCAATGTCAACACTGAAACAACAATGTGTGCAGACCTAATTCAAATACAACATGTTTCGTGTGTGTGTGTTGTGTGTGTGGGTGTGGTGTGTGTGTGTGTGTGTGTGTGTGTGTGTGTGTTGTGGTGTGGTGTGTGTGTGTGTGTGTGGGTGTGTGTGTGTGTGTGTGTGTGTGTGTGTGTGTGTGGTGTGTGTGTGTGTGTGTGTGTGTGTGTGTGTGTGTGTGTGTGTGTGTGTGTGTGTGTGTGTGTGTGTTTACCTGTGGTGTGTGTGTGTGTTTGTACCTGTGTGTGTGGTGTACCCCTGTGTGTGTGTGTTTGTAACCCTGTGTGTGTGTGTGTAACCTGTGTGTGTGTGTGTTTGTAACCTGTGTGTGTGTGTAACCTGTGTGTGTGTGTGTGTTTGTAACCTGTGTGTGTTTGTAACCTGTGTGTGTGTGTGTAACCTGTGTGTGTGTGTGTGTGTGTTTGTAACCTGTGTGTGTAACCTGTGTTTGTAACCTGTGTGTGTGTGTGTGTAACCTGTGTGTGTGTGTGTTTGTAACCTGTGTGTGTGTGTTTGTAACCTGTGTGTGTGTGTGTGTGTTTGTAACCTGTGTGTGTAACCTGTGTTTGTAACCTGTGTGTGTGTGTGTAACCTGTGTGTGTGTTTGTAACCTGTGTGTGTGTTTGTAACCTGTGTGTGTTTGTAACCTGTGTGTGTAACCTGTGTGTGTGTGTGTAACCTGTGTGTGTAACCTGTGTGTGTGTGTGTAACCTGTGTGTGTAACCTGTGTGTGTGTGTGTAACCTGTGTGTGTGTGTGTGTAACCTGTGTGTGTGTGTTTGTAACCTGTGTATGTGTGTAACCTGTGTGTGTGTGTGTGTGTTTGTAACCTGTGTATGTAACCTGTGTGTGTGTGTGTGTGTTTGTAACCTGTGTATGTGTGTAACCTGTGTGTGTGTTTGTAACCTGTGTGTGTGTGTTTGTAACCTGTGTGTGTGTTTGTAACCGATGTGTGTGTTTGTAACCTGTGTGTGTGTGTGTGTGTTTGTAACCTGTGTGTGTGTGTGTGTGTAACCTGTGTGTGTGTGTTTGTAACCTGTGTGTGTGTGTGTTTGTAACCTGTGTGTGTGTTTGTAACCTGTGTGTGTGTGTTTGTAACCTGTGTGTGTGTTTGTAACCTGTGTGTGTGTGTTTGTAACCTGTGTGTGTGTTGTGTAACCTATGTGTGTGTGTGTGTTTGTAACCTGTGTGTGTGTTTGTAACCTATGTGTGTGTGTGTGTTTGTAACCTGTGTGTGTGTGTGTTTGTAACCTGTGTGTGTGTGTTTGTAACCTGTGTGTGTGTTTGTAACCTGTGTGTGTGTTTGTAACCTATGTGTGTGTAACCTGTGTGTTTGTAACCTGTGTGTGTGTGTTTGTAACCTGTGTGTGTGTTTGTAACCGATGTGTGTGTTTGTAACCTGTGTGTGTGTGTGTGTTTGTAACCTGTGTGTGTGTTTGTGTTTGTAACCTGTGTGTGTGTTTGTAACCTGTGTGTGTGTTTGTAACCTGTGTGTGTGTGTGTGTTGTAACCCTATGTGTGTGTGTGTGTGTGTTTGTAACCTGTGTGTGTGTTTGTAACCTATGTGTGTGTGTGTGTTTGTAACCTGTGTGTGTGTGTGTTTGTAACCTGTGTGTGTGTGTGTGTGTTCAGGCTGCCTGCTCTCCTCCGGTCTTACGGCAGTTCAGTGCGCAGCTGGTCTCTGATCTACAGACTGAGAGTCTACGAGCTGCTGGCTCTGCTGCCTCCTCACACCTACCAAGGTAACGACTCACCTCCTTTCCTACCTCCTGCCTCTCTTCTACCTTTCTTTCCCACTTTCCTTTGTGTTTGCTGTACTGCTTTCACTTTTTAATTACATTTATTTCTTGTCTTGTGACTTTAGGTCCACTAGTTTAAGATGTTTCTGGGCCAGAGAGAGCCTTTATTAGAGATACAGACTTGAAGGGGGAGATAGAGGGGATGACGGTGCTTTAAATATTCCACTGGCTCCGAACCCACTGCATATGGGCCGCCAGCTCTAACCATTTAAAGGTCCCATGTCATGCTTTTCTGGTTATCACCCGTCCCCTTGTGTTATGAAGCTTCTGCATGTAAACGGTCTGCAGAGTCACACACCCTCAAAGTACACCCTGTAGAGAGTAAAACTCTAACACAGAGAAGACCTGTCTATGCTGCCCCAGAACGCCTCGTTGGACATTTCTCTTTTTCCATTGTTTACTTCCTGGGTACAGTGACGTGTGAACACCCAAATCAACAACAAATGACCTGATTGGCCCAAATGGACCAATCCCTGGAGCACCTCACACACCAGGATCCCTTGGCTAACTAACACGGAGTCCCATTGACTTGCATAGAGCTCCCTGGTTGGTAATAGACGAGTTGGGATGGTGGAGAAATGCAATGAAAATTGCACAATATAAATCTATTCTAGTAGACCTCAACAATGGAATTATGATCAGTGGAAATGGCCGTGACATGGGACCTTTAAACATTTGAAAGAATCGTACAAAAATGGTTAAGCCATGGTATAATAATGTTCTGCCTGGAGCAGCACCTGGACCGCCTACATCTCACCTTGATGATCAAACTACTTAAAATCGCTCTTGTAGATTTATCAAAATGTGTTTAAAATATGCAAATCATTTTGATCAAAACCTGGTTATTGTTACTTCCTTCTCTCCTTGATTTCTTTGTGTCTTTTCCTTTCCTTCTGTATCACATTCCTTCATGACTTCTCCTGATTGTGTATATCTGTCTTATACGTTTTTATGTTTAAAGCCTTCCTAATTCCCTTTAAACTCTTTAGTTGTTGGCCATTTTGTTTTTGTTGTGAGAAAAAGTCATAATTCTGAAAAAAGTCATAATTCTGAAAAAATGCAAAATTATGAAAAAAGTAAAAATAAAAAAGTCCAAAGTATTTTTTCTAAAAATACTGAAAATGTATAAATTCAAAACAAAAGTCAGAATTATCAAAGGAAATCGAAATTAGGAAAAAAGTCAACATGTTATTGTTGGCTGTATATTAGTTGAGACACTGACCTGAAAGCCCTTCTCTCGTCCTCCTGCAGAGAGTTTTGGTTTGGTGATGAACCAGCTGGTCTCAGATCTGTCGGGTCAGAACAACCTGAACCAGCCGTGTTCAGAGCTCACGCTGCTGCCTCCCCTCTGTCACCGTGACGACTTGCCTCTCGTTGGCCCCGCCCTCCAGAACACCGACCACAGATACATCGAGGAACAGGTGAGGGATGCTAACAGGATGCTAACAGGATGCTAACTGCACAGCGCAGGGCTGCAGGACATTGTATACTTATTTATAAACTGGGCAGAGGAGATTTGTCACATTTGTCCTGGGTGCACCCCACATACTTTGGCTCTGCTGCTCATCCCACAAATGCATGGTCCTCACAAATGTGGCACCATTTGAAAGGTAAGAAAACAGGCTTTCCAACGCTATAAGATGTATTGCCAAGAAGCATTGTTACAACAAAGAAATAATCTACCAAACACAAATTCCCTTACTTTTTTGTGTTAAGTTTATAAATAGTTATCACCACAATAAACCGTATATCATGTTGTCTTAATTTACATTATTTAATTTCATATTCTGTTCTTGCACATATCATATTCTATTGACATGTATATAGACCTTTTGCACTACTTTGTATTTTGTATTTGACTATATATGTTGCATTGTTGGAGGAGCTCAGGTCAGAAGAATGTCATTGCCATTTCTACACTGAATCTGTGTGTGTGTTTCCAGCTCCACGGCAGCAGTGTGGGAGGAGGCTCTCTGGACAACGACGCCTTCAGCCTGTGTGAGAAAAGTGATGCGACTCCAGCTCCTCTTCCTCCTCCCGTCGCTCTCACCGCTGCAGCTGCTCGCCTCTTCGGAGCGCTTTACCCCCACGTCATCTCCGCTCAGAGGTAACTCCTACAACTAGAACAGAAGGAGCGTCCTACATCTTAAAGGTCACCTATCATGCTATCTGTAGGCAACAGCATAGGTCTCAGATATATACAAATATATAAAAAACATGTCTATGAAGTGTTTTGCTCAAAACACCAAACAGATCACCCATTCTAGCCACGCCTCATATCCCTCTATTTCACTTCCTGTTTCTAAAGTGCTGATTTGGGGTATAAAGGTTAAAAAAAATAAAAAAGGAGGGGTCTGAGCTCATGCGGGACCCGGCAGCTACTGTCTAAACTAAATGCTGCCGTGATGAAACGCCATATCATGGATTATCAAGGATTCTCTCTGAAACAGTATGGAGCTCAAAGGCTTTCTCTCTTGCCGGTTATACCACAAGGTGAGTTCCTTTTTATTTCCTGCTTCTTCACACACATGCTCTCCAGTACAGGTTAGCTCTGAGTGTTAGCCATGCTAATGTAAACACAGACCATATTACGTCCAAAACAGTCGGGCATTGTTTCTGATAGCAACGTTTCTGATTGGGCCGTGGGTCCACATTTCAGATATTACGTCATATCGGACGCACATCTGGATCAGCTCCGTTGTTCCCCCGTTTTTAGAGATTTGGGTACGGAGGAAAAGAGAGAGGGTTTTATTTTCTGACGCTGCGTGAGTTCCCTGACACACCGGGGACACACCGGGGACACACCGGGGACACACCGGGGACACATGGTGATGAAGAGAAGACATCAAAAAGTGCATTTTGCATGATAGGTCCCCTTTAAATATATCCATACTCACTGCTGATGTTGATCAGAAGGAACCTACTGTACATTCATTTAATTTGTATTTGTTCCGTTCATGGTATGCACAACCTAATGTATAACAATGACTAACAAAACATGTCTCTATAAACACACCATACCCGAAATGGAGCAGGGAGAAGAAAATAATCTTACAGTGCCTGCCGCTTTCTCAAACAAATAATAATAAATAGAAAAAAATGGTCTGTCCTTCACATGTTCTTATTCACAGCCAGTGGTGTAATGGTCGTTGGACGCGGGGGATCGCCGTTCCCCCACTTATTTGAAGCTTAATTTTTTTTGTCATGGTTTTGAGTCTGTGTGTGCTGAGCGCAGCGCCGTCTGCTTCTTGCAGTACAGTAACTAAAGTAACATACCGGTAGTTTCTGTAGACCTGTCTGCCCGTTTTGTGAGTGCACTGCACGTGTGCGTGTGTGCACTGCGTGAATGTTTGGGATGACCTAATTTAAAATAGCGTCCACCCAGTAATAAAATCCCCACTACACCCACTTCACAGCCAATCATAACAGTATCGTAGGAAAATAAGAGAAACACAAAAACGTAGTTCCCACTTGACAGTTAACGGAAAGAAACAAAAAACACCAAAACATCACATGAACAAGGAAAAGTGCGACATCTGAGTCCAACTGGAGTAGAAGGAGGAGCATTATTATGTACATTTCATACAGCGTTTCAGTATCGGAAACTAAGGCTAAGGTTTATTCTTTTGCCGTAATGCTGTTACTAATACTAGTGGGGAACTCACGGCTCATGTGTGCTGTTCCTCTTTGCACATTTTAAACTGAAACACTGGCCAAATATTGCTGAATATGTTATACCTACTTGTGCTGACAGTTTTAATTGCAGAAAGCCTACGCTATCGCAACTCTGCAAACTAATAGGATGAGCATATTTCTTCATGTATGTACAATATAAGCGAAGCTGAACTCTTTGAACAAGTCTATGTGCTGCCATCACATGTGCAGTATTTACTTAAATGACACTTCAAACCACTGATTATTTTGATATAACTACAGCAACCACACGTCATTCAACACCCCATCACACATCCCTCCATACCTGTTACACCCTTGTATTTTACCCTTATTGTATTGTACCTTATATGGCCTATATGTTGTACTTATTTATTCTTTGTTATCTCATTTGTGGCTTATGTATTATTTGTCTGTCTTTCTCAGAGTGAAGATATTGGAGCAGTTTGTGGAAACAGTGAACCAGCTGAAGGGTCAGCGCCAGCAGACGGTCCAGACACACGTTTGTGCCGCTCTCTGCAGTCTGCTCAAGGTAACACACCAAGACCTGTGGTGTGTGTGGAGACCAAATGTGGAGCAATTACATGAAGTGTTAATGCAAAGACATGAATTTAGCAGTGTATTTCAGTGTAATGCACCTGTTGCAAAAGCCTATCAGTATTGAGATTCCCCTTTGTGAACTGCATTTAGAAAGCAAACATTTAAAAAGTCTTGTCTTGTTTACTACCAAACATTAAAAGTCAACCCTCTGACAAAGCATGATTCAAGGAACCTACCTGTATTCTCTTCCTCCTCGTCCTCCTCGTCCTCCTCAGCACCAGGGATGTATCCGTGGCTCTTTGGGTCCAGAGGAGGTTCGCTCCCCTGCTCTCTCTCTCCTCTCGGGGGCGCTAGAGAGCGTCAGTCCTCTGCTCAGATGTCTGGCTGCGGAGGGTCTGGCTCGGCTGGTTCAGGTGGTCGGAGACCCCGGATTCACCGTGTCCGTCTCCCTGCTCTGCTTCGACAGGTACGTTAACACACACCTTCATACATTGCTTTATATTCAAGATGCTGCAGACGGTGTTGGAGTGGACTCTCACTGCAGGAGAGGATCTTTGACGAATGCTCCCTTACTTAAAGCCACAAATAAAAAAAATTGTGGATGGAAATATGTGTTTTTTTGTGGTATTTCTATCCAAATAAGTATACTTATATATAAAAAAATTCAAATTTCTGAAAAAGTCGGAACTACTAAATTCTGTAAAAAAGTAAACTATGAACTATGAAAAAAAAAAGGCAAAATTATGAAAATATTCTCAAGAGCCAGAATGTTTAAGAAAAGTAAAAATTCTGAAAAAATTCTGAAAAAATTCTGAAAAAGTCAAAATTCTTAAAAAGTCAAAATTCTTAAAAAGTCAAAATTCTAAACTATGGAAAAAAAAGTCTAAATAAAAAAAATGATGTCAAAATTCTGGAAAAACGTACGTTAACACCATAGACTGTATATATAAAGGTTAACACACGCCTTCATACATTTCTATATATACAAGATGCTGCAGACGGTGTTGGAGTGGACTCTCACTGCAGGAGAGAATCTTTGACGAATGCTCCCTTACTTATCTGATAAAGCTACAAATAAAAAAATATATAATAATAATAATAATACATTTTATTTTAGGCGCCTTTCAAGACGCCCAAGGACACCGTACAATTTGTTAAAAAAAAAGAAAACGCTAATAGGCAACAGAACATGATAAAAACACAAACAGGAAATCATGGAGGAGACAATCAAGTGGACACAAATGAAACATACAATGGGGGGAACTACAGATTTGAACAGGTGGGTTTTTAATTGGGATTTGAATATGGTGATTGTGTCTGACTGTCGGATGTGCGGGGGGAGGGAGTTCCAGAGTCTGGGAGCAGTGCAGCTAAAAGCCCGAGCACCCAAGGAGCGGAGGGAGCGAGAGGGGGTGCACTCCTGAAGAAGGGCAGCCAGATAGAGGGGGGGGGGGGGGCAGGTTATGTGGGGCTGAGCAGCAGTTTTTTTATATAGATGTTTTTTTGTGGTATTTATATTTTAACAAGTATTCTTATATTCCTATTTCAATGCAGCGTAATTCCTGCTGTTGTGAACAGACTACATGAAACAAGAAGTCTTCAAAATCATTGCAATCTATTTCCAGTCTTTATGATCTTAAAGTAGAAACAGCAAAAACTCAGGTCATGTTCCAAAAATATTCTTCACAAAGAGAGACTGTTACATAACAAACCAGAAATAGTTCAAAAACGCTTTAAATAACTTTGAGATCCAAATATATCTCAGCATGTGAGTTATGATGCTGTGATGAAATGTGTCTTCATTGGGTTGCATAGGAAACATCTCTCAATGCACGTCTTTGGCTCACGAGGAGCCTTTGGACTTGTTTCAGTGTTTAGAGGAGGACATGGAGGATTAATGATTTCCTCTTTAATCTTCACACATGTCCATGTACACAGCATCCCACGTGCAGTGACTTTTAGTCTGCGTTTACCCCACAATTCTGAAAAAAAAGTCAAAATTCTAAGAATTCTAAAAAGTCAAAATTCTGATAAAAAGCCAAAATACTGAGAAAGTCAAAACTATGAAAAAAAGGCAAAATTCTGAAAAGAAAGTCAACAAATCTGAAAAAAGTCAGAATTTTTGAAGAAAAGTCAAAATTCTGAGAAAAATAATAACTATGAAAAAAAAGTCAAGATTCTGGAAAAAAAAATCTAAATTATGAAAATAGTCTAAATCTTCAAGAGCAAGAATTTTTTAAGAAAAGTCAAAATTATGAAAAATAAGTCAAAACTTCCAAAAAAGCATGAACAATGTAAAAAAGTCAAAATTCTGGAAAAGAATAAATTCAGAAAAAATTTAAAATTCTCAAGAGCTTCTGTAATCCTTGCAACTAACTGTTATTAAATATTGAGTTATTATTGATCCACCAAATACATCATAAAGAGACTTGAAACGGGTATATTTTAGCATTCTTATTTTTCGAATACTACTGCTGCCTCTAACCGTGCTGATTCTCCAGGCTGAAGACGTCTCGGGACGCAGCGTCTCGCAGTGGCTACTCCCTGGCTCTGGGGGCGCTGCACCGCTACACCGGAGGAATCAGCTCCGCTCAACACCTGTCCACCTGCCTGGGAGTGCTGTTCACCCTGAGCCAGGACAGCACCTCACCTGAGGTCCAGGTACGCACACATCAGTCTGTTTGTCCATTGTTACTTACATTTTTCAAAAAGATCCACAGATGAGGTGATTCTGACTTTGTTTTGGGTACATTTGGAATAAAAGAAGGACCGTCGATTAGATATTATATTCCCCAGAAGGTTTGCAATAACAGAATGATCGCAAACGAGAAATACAAACGCTATCTGTTAAACCTATCTTTAACTTTAACTTTGTTTTAGTGGGTTTGTCTATTTTCTTTGCAAATGTATTGCGTTCAAAATAGGAAAGGTAGCAAGGTGGAAAGAGAGGGTGTTTCTCAATGTCGAGGGCGCTTGCTTGGTAGCACATGTCTTCCGAGTCACTTGCTTCAGAAGCGAGGCAAGAATCCTTTCCTGGCATTCGGAAAACGAAGAGTGGAACAGGCTAGCAAGTGTGCAGGTGTGCGTCATATGAGAGGCCCCGCCTCCTTACATCTTCCGCCACAGATTTGGGGAAATTGGTCCGTACGCAAAGCATTGTGGGGATTTTAAGACCGCGGAGTCTACACATCGAAATTTCTCGCTACCAAGTACGCCGGGCTCGGTAGAATTCCAAGTATGCTGGACATTGGAACAGGCCTTCGGCGGCACTCGATGACGTAGTATGCTTGAAATAGTGGCTCTGGAGCAGCCTTCCTCGACATTGAGAAACACCCAGAGTCTTTGACCATAGTGTGCAAAAGGCCTTTTCAAGTAAACCTTGAACCCTAAAACTGAAAAAGTCAGAACTATGAAAAAAAGGATTGTGTTCAAAATAGGAAAGGTAGCAAGGTGGAAAGAGAGTCTTTGACCATAACTGCAAAAGACTCCTTGAACTGAAAGTAAACCTTGAACCCTAAAACAAAGTCTTAACCCTCAAACATTTGATTAAAGAAGTGCTAATGAACCCAAACTCTCCCCCCTGTGGTGTGCAGACCTGGTCTCTCCACAGCATGTCTCTGGTGGTGGATCTGTCGGGGGGTTTGTACCGCGCCCATGCCGAGGCGTCCTTCACTCTGGTGCTCCGGCTGCTGCTGTCTGCCCCCCCCACGCACCCTGAGGTGCACCACAGCCTGGGCCGCTGCCTGCACGCCCTCATCACCTGCCTGGGCCCCGACCTGCAAGGTAAGGACAGAACAGAGACACAAGTGATGTGTGTGTGTGTTTCTGTAAGGAGAGGGTGCAGCAGGTGTGAATAAGGGCTTCACAATTAATCCCTTTTTTATGGAAAACACAATATGATCAAGTGCAGATTCAAATATCAGGAAGCACAATATTTGTTGAAGGCTAAATATGTGTTTAAATACCATATTTTGTATCAAGTATTGTGGAGCTGGAGACATATCAAGGCCTCCAGACTTAATCAAAAACATACAGTATGTGTTTGGTGCAGATCCTCTTATAGCAACATAATAATTGTATAAACTTTTCAATGATAAGAAGAAGTACGGTTAGGAAATGATCAATCCCTTCAATATTGTGAATAATATCGCAATTGCAATATCAGGCGGCCCTAGTGGTAATGCAAGTGGTTTGTGTTTTTATGTCAGGTAAAGGAGCTGTAGGAATCTTGAATGTCCTTGTGTGAATGCTGTGTGTTTCCTCCGCCAGGTGAGGGTGCAGCAGTGTCCTCTCTGCGCTCCAGCTGTCTGATTGGCTGCGGGGTGATGCAGGACAGCCCGGACTCTCTGGTTCAGGCCAGAGCCATTTCCTGTATGCAGCAGCTGCACATGTTCTCACCTCCTCACGTCAACCTGGCCAGCCTCGTACCTGCACTCTGTGTGAGTACACCTGAACTACAACTGATTACACCTGATATACACCTGAGTACACCTGATATACACCTGAGTACACCTGATATACACCTGAGTACACCTGATATACACCTGAGTACACCTGATATACACCTGAGTACACCTGATATACTCCTGAGTACACCTGATACACACCTGACTACACCTGATATACACCTGAGTACACCTGATATACTCCTGAGTACACCTGATACACACCTGACGACACCTGATATACACCTGAGTACACCTGATATACTCCTGAGTACACCTGATATACTCCTGAGTACACCTGATACACACCTGACGACACCTGATATACACCTGAGTACACCTGATATACTCCTGAGTACACCTGATATACTCCTGAGTACACCTGATACACACCTGACGACACCTGATATACACCTGAGTACACCTGATATACTCCTGAGTACACATGATATACTCCTGAGTACACCTGATATACACCTGAGTACACCTGATATACTCCTGAGTACACCTGATATACTCCTGAGTACACCTGATATACTCCTGAGTACACCTGATATACTCCTGAGTACACCTGATATACTCCTGAGTACACCTGATATACTCCTGAGTACACCTGATACACACCTGACGACACCTGATATACACCTGAGTACACCTGATATACTCCTGAGTACACCTGATATACTCCTGAGTACACCTGATATACTCCTGAGTACACCTGATATACTCCTGAGTACACCTGATATACTCCTGAGTACACCTGATATACTCCTGAACTACAACTGACTACACCTGATATACACCTGACTACATCTAAACTATACCTGACTACAGCTGACTACACCTGAACAACACCTGATATACACCTGAACAACACCTGACTACACCTGAACAACACCTGACTACACCTGAACAACACCTGACTACACCTGAACAACACCTGACTACACCTGAACAACACCTGATATACACCTGATACACACCTGACTACATCTAAACTATACCTGACTACAGCTGACTACACCTGAACAACACCTGACTACACCTGAACAACACCTGACTACACCTGAACAACACCTGACTACACCTGAACAACACCTGATATACACCTGATACACACCTGACTACATCTAAACTATACCTGACTACAGCTGATACACACCTGACTACAGCTGACTACACCTGAACAACACCTGATACACACCTGACTACACCTGATACACACCTGACTACACCTGATACACACCTGACTACACCTGATACACACCTGAACTACACCTGAACTACTCCTAAGCGCTTTGAGCACCAGGAAAAGCGCTATATAAATCAAATGTATTATTATTATATACACCTGAACTCCACCTAAACAACACCTGAACTACATCTGATATACACCTGATACACACCTGACTACACCTGATACACACCTGAACAACACCTGATATACACCTGAACAACACCTGACTACACCTGAACAACACCTGACTACACCTGAACAACACCTGATATACACCTGATACACACCTGAGTACACCTGATATACTCCTGAGTACACATGATATACTCCTGAGTACACCTGATATACTCCTGAGTACACCTGATATACTCCTGAGTACACCTGATACACACCTGACTACACCTGATATACTCCTGAACTACAACTGACTACACCTGATACACACCTGACTACATCTAAACTATACCTGACTACAGCTGATACACACCTGACTACACCTGATATACTCCTGAGTACACCTGATATACTCCTGAGTACACCTGATATACTCCTGAGTACACCTGATATACTCCTGAACTACAACTGACTACACCTGATATACACCTGACTACATCTAAACTATACCTGACTACAGCTGACTACACCTGAACAACACCTGATATACACCTGAACAACACCTGACTACACCTGAACAACACCTGACTACACCTGAACAACACCTGACTACACCTGAACAACACCTGACTACACCTGAACAACACCTGATATACACCTGATACACACCTGACTACATCTAAACTATACCTGACTACAGCTGACTACACCTGAACAACACCTGACTACACCTGAACAACACCTGACTACACCTGAACAACACCTGACTACACCTGAACAACACCTGATATACACCTGATACACACCTGACTACATCTAAACTATACCTGACTACAGCTGATACACACCTGACTACAGCTGACTACACCTGAACAACACCTGATACACACCTGACTACACCTGATACACACCTGACTACACCTGATACACACCTGACTACACCTGATACACACCTGAACTACACCTGAACTACTCCTAAGCGCTTTGAGCACCAGGAAAAGCGCTATATAAATCAAATGTATTATTATTATATACACCTGAACTCCACCTAAACAACACCTGAACTACATCTGATATACACCTGATACACACCTGACTACACCTGATACACACCTGAACAACACCTGATATACACCTGAACAACACCTGACTACACCTGAACAACACCTGACTACACCTGAACAACACCTGATATACACCTGATACACACCTGAGTACACCTGATATACTCCTGAGTACACATGATATACTCCTGAGTACACCTGATATACTCCTGAGTACACCTGATATACTCCTGAGTACACCTGATACACACCTGACTACACCTGATATACTCCTGAACTACAACTGACTACACCTGATACACACCTGACTACATCTAAACTATACCTGACTACAGCTGATACACACCTGACTACAGCTGACTACACCTGAACAACACCTGATCAACACCTGATACACACCTGACTACACCTGATACACACCTGACTACACCTGATACACACCTGACTACACCTGATACACACCTGAACTACACCTGACTACACCTGAACTACTCCTAAGCGCTTTGAGCACCAGGAAAAGCGCTATATAAATCAAATGTATTATTATTATTATTATATACACCTGAACTCCACCTAAACAACACCTGAACTACATCTGATATACACCTGAACTACATCTGAATCACACCTGAACTACTCCTGATATACACCTGAACTCCACCTAAACAACACCTGAACTACACCTGAATTACACATGAACTACATCTAATATACACCTGAACTACACCTGATATACACCTGAACTACACCTGATATACAGCTAATATACACCTGAACTACACCTAATATACATCTGAACTACACCTAATATACACCTGAACTACACCTAATATACAGCTAATATACACCTGAACTACAATTGAACTACTCATGATATACACCTGAACTACACCTGATATACACCTGAACTACACCTGATATACAGCTAATATACACCTGAACTACACCTGATATACACCTGAACTACACCTAATATACACCTGAACTACACCTAATATACAGCTAATATACACCTGAACTACACCTAATATACATCTGAACTACACCTAATATACAGCTAATATACACCTGAACTACACCTAATATACATCTGAACTACAATTGAACTACTCATGATATACACCTGAACTACAATTGAACTACTCATGATATACACCTGAACTACACCTAATATACAGCTAATATACACCTGAACTACACCTAATATACAGCTAATATACACCTGAACTACACCTAATATACATCTGAACTACACTTGAACTACTCATGATATACACCTGAACTACACCTAATATACAGCTAATATACACCTGAACTACACCTAATATACATCTAATATACACCTGAACTACACCTAATATACATCTGAACTACACCTAATATACATCTAATATACACCTGAACTACACCTAATATACACCTGAACTACACCTAATATACATCTAATATACACCTGAACTACACCTAATATACATCTGAACTACACCTGAACTACACCTAATATACACCTGAACTACACCTAATATACATCTAATATACACCTGAACTACACCTAATATACATCTGAACTACACCTGAACTACACCTAATATACATCTGAACTACACCTAATATACACCTGAACTACACCTAATATACATCTAATATACACCTGAACTACACCTAATATACATCTGAACTACACCTAATATACACCTGAACTACACCTAATATACAGCTAATATACACCTGAACTACACCTAATATACATCTAATATACACCTGAACTACACCTAATATACATCTGAACTACACCTAATATACAGCTAATATACACCTGAACTACACTTGAACTACTCATGATATACACCTGAACTACACTTGAACTACTCATGATACACACCTGAACTACAATTGAACTACTCCTGATATACACCTGAACTACAATTGAACTACTCATGATATACACCTGAACTACACTTGAACTACTCATGATACACACCTGAACTACACTTGAACTACTCCTGATATACACCTGAACTACACTTGAACTACTCATGATATACACCTGAACTACACTTGAACTACTCATGATACACACCTGAACTACACTTGAACTACTCATGATATACACCTGAACTACAATTGAACTACTCATGATATACACCTGAACTACACTTGAACTACTCATGATACACACCTGAACTACACCTGAACTACTAATGATATACACCTGAACTACACCTGAACTACTAATGATATACACCTATACCACCTGGCTTTTATCTATGGACAGATTTAAAGATTTATGTGTCAAATAATATAGTTTTGAACATGTGCAGTGAATGTAAGGGTGATATACACCTGATATACACCTGAACTACACTTGAACTACACCTAATATACACCTGAACTACACCTAATATACACCTGAACTACACCTAATATACACCTGAACTACACTTGAACTACACCTAATATACACTTGAACTACACCTAATATACACCTGAACTACACCTAATATACACCTGAACTACACCTAATATACACCTGAACTACACTTGAACTACACCTAATATACACCTGAACTACACCTAATATACACCTGAACTACACCTAATATACACCTGAACTACTCTTGAACTACTCATGATATACACCTGATATACACCTGATATACACCTGATATACACCTGATATACACCTGATATACACCTGATATACACCTGATATAAACCTGATATACACCTGATATAAACCTGATATACACCTGATATACACCTGATATACACCTGATATAAACCTGATATACACCTGATATACACCTGATATACACCTGATATACACCTGATATAAACCTGATATACACCTGATATACACCTGATATAAACCTGATATACACCTGATATACACCTGATATACACCTGATATACACCTGATATACACCTGATATACACCTGATATAAACCTGATATACACCTGATATACACCTGATATACACCTACAGCATAGTTATATTGTTTTTAGCAAATGTCTGAAGGGGAAGAGCTTTGACTAAGCCCGTTGTTCACACAGAATCAACCAAACAATACCCTAAAACAATGCAATTAACATCAATTCAAGTATCTGTTAGTAACACTGTAACCAAACAAATATCAAGGGCTTGTGTTGAGTACTTTGACCCTGTGTTGTGTCTTGCAGGAGATCTTGTTGGATTATTCTTTGTTGGTAGGTTCTCTCTCGAAAGGCCTGAAGCCGTTTGTCTCACTTTGCTTTTCAGCTTGTTTCTCCATCAACACTTTTATGTTATTCTAATAACATGAAACACGTCACACAGGTTTATTGTGAGCTTTTAACATCTTCTTTTCTGTTGGTACCCTAATAACCTGCACGTGTTTCTCAGTTTATTTTAGCACTGTTTGCTTTGCAGACTAACGCATAACTCAATAACTGTACCCACAGCACTGCACTAACCCCCTGCCTGCTGGCTGTTTGTTTCTCCTACAGTGAACACACTCAGTGTTTCCTCCAGAAAGACCTCAAATCCATCTAAATATTATTACTAAGAGTCATCTTGTGAATGTATTAAATGATAAAGGATCCTGACAGTAACCTCTTTTCACTCTGGAGCATTATTACTTCATCATTGTTCTTTTAGACAATAATTATTTAGTTATTAGATCAATAATTGACGCGGATCATTTCTGTAAGTTGTATACTTAATGATAACAACTATTGCAATATAAATACAACTATTTGGATAAACATGAATTGTTTCGTTACGGAAAAAATATCCAACATCTTCTTGGTTTGATATCCAAAAAGTATATCTAATGTTAAATCTAATGTAATAAATCTGTGTTTTTCTAGATTAGGGAACTCGTAGCTAATAATTATCACTATTTTAACAGATATTTTGAGGAAATGTAGTAAATTAATTATTCAGTAATTCAAATATGAAAATGTTTGCAAAGTTTAATTTCTGAAACTGGAGGAAACATTGTGTGTAGCTGCATGCCTGATACACCTTACACCTGCTGTGATAACAGAGAAACAGTGTTAACTAAATTCTGTGTGTGTGTGTGTCAGGCCCACCTGTGCAGCTCGTACCTGTGTCTGCGCCGGGCCGTGGTGGCGTGTCTGCGGCAGCTGGTGCAGCGGGAGGCGCTGGAGGTTTCTGAACACGCTGTGACGCTGGTCAAAGAGCTGCCCAGACGAGACAACACACAGCTGGGTCAGCAGCTAAAGCTTAATACATTCATTATATTATATTATCATGTCAGTTTAAACATCCAGGCATGTTTGAATACGTTTAATAATACTGTTCCTGGCATTACAATATGTTTCCAGAAAAAGTTACATTACTTCTTCATTAATATCTAGTTTTCCACATTCAGAATTCACAAAAATTCCATTACGTTCTTATTATGAAAAGCACATTCAAGCAGTGGCGGTTCTAGACCAATTTGACTGGGCGGGCCAGGCTGGGGCCAGGTTGGGGCCAGGCTGGGGCCAGACTGGGGCCAGGCTGGGGCCAGGTTGGGGCCAGGCTGGGGCCAGGCTGGGGCCAGACTGGGGCCAGGCTGGGGCCAGGCTGGGGCCAGGTTGGGGCCAGGCTGGGGCCAGGTTGGGGCCAGGTTGGGGCCAGGCTGGGGCCAGGTTGGGGCCAGGCCGGGGCCAGGCCGGGGCCAGCCTGGGGCCAGCCTGGGGCCAGCCTGGGGCCAGCCTGGGGCCAGTTATTTTCTGAGGGGGGCACAATAAATTCAGGACGAAAAAGACAAAGACAGTATGAAGTAATTGCGCATAAGAAAACAATGCAATACAGTTATTGGTATTTGTTTCAGTAAACATATTTATTTCAGATACTTATAGTTACAGTTTTTACGCTCGAATGGGTCCGACTAGAATGACAAATAGCGTTAGTTCCGCCTATTCCGTCAGCCAAGAAATCGTTTAATCATAAACTTATTTTTTTCCCTTTTTTATGAATAACATATTTGCAGCACATTCAGTCCGAAACACAGTGATTATCTTTATTGTATTTCATGTTGCATTCACAGTTTATTACACATATTTCTTTCCCATCATTCAGAACATCAAGACAATTATCTCTCCCTCCACTGACACCTAACACCCCCCCCCCTCTCTCTGCAGACGTCACCATAAAGGAGGTGGGTCTGGAAGGAGCTCTGTTCACTCTGCTGGACCGAGAGTCTGATCCCGGTCTGAGGCGGGACATCCAGGAGACGCTGGTCCACATGATGGCCTCCAGCGCCACCAGCGGGAAGCTGGGACACTGGCTCAAACTGTGCAAGGACGTCCTGTCTGCAACCACCGGTGGGTTCAATTGTTGCAGTACTTGTTCTTTCTCTTCAAAATATTTTCATGAATTTTCTTGTTCAACACAGAATTCCCACAGATGGGCCGAAACAGTATCACAAGGCGCTTTCACACCAAGTACTTTGCCGTACTTAGTTCATCAGAACTCTTTAGTTCTGATGAACTAAGAGCAGATCGCGTTCACACCGGAATAATTCCCTGGGGGAGGATTAGGCAAATGAGCTGCTGACGTCACTTCGTCTTTTTCTGCTTTGGGTTTACTGGCAGGCCGCAAACAACTTCACGGCGTATACTGCCACCCGGAGTCCCCGGCCGGAAGTCCCCGGACTGGCTTCAGAGTAAACCGCCAGAACGCAGACACCTCCTCATCTCCACCGCTCCCATGTTTTATTTTGTGTTGCCATAAGTTAGTCTCTCTGTGTTTCTGCGCTGGGCGAATGCTAATGCTAATAATGCTAATGCGAGGAAAATAAAATGGCGGCTTCACAAAACTTTTTGGGAGTTTTACGGGGCGTGGTTTGCAATCCGCCCAGCCAATCAGAACTGGGAACCTTTTTCTCCCACGAAAATACCTGCTCTCTAGCAGGGACTGAAAGGGGTGAAAAGATTCTCATTAACTAAGTTCTGGATTCTTTTGGTGTGAACGCACATTTTCAGAACTATATCGGAACTATACCGGGAAAAGTACTCCGGTGTGAAAGCGCCTACAATGCAGTGAATTGTGAAAACATTTAGCATTACATTCAAAAAGTAAAGACATTTTATAGAAAATAAAAAAAAACACCAGCAGCAAAGTCTTGGGAACAAATAATTATCCCGGAGATAGCCCTACCCTCCCCATCCCCCCATCCCCCCAACCCAACAGTACTTGTTCTAATAGAAATAAACAACTATATTTGGTGAGCTTAGACGTGAAGCAGCCTGCAAAGGGTGATGTTTTTATTTATTACCCTACATTTTATGTAAAAAGTGCAATCAACTGTGAAGATATTAACTACAAAAGCCAGGGTGCAGTGGAAACAGGTCGTTTTTCAGTCTGCAAGTGAAGATGTGTTGACTTTCTGTTGTCCTCATATCAATATCATTACATTAATGTAATGTAAGAAGGTGGTTTCTAAATACAGATATTTCTGTATTAAATATAAATCCCAATCATCAAACATTGAAACATTACATATTCTCACTAACAGTTATACAGACGGATTAAAATACAAATCTATAAAATATAAATACCAGCCGATCAACTTTGTGACCCAAGTTGCAAACGGCTGAGTTAATATTTATGAAGGTAATGAAGATCCTAAAATGCTAATTAAAGCTTGTTAGTGGACCTTTAGTTTCCACTGTCAGGGATGAACCTTTCTGTAATCTCTCTCAGACTGTCGGGCTCCGGTGGAGTTGCGTCAGGAGGACGAGGAGGAGGAGGCGGACGCCGGTCGAGACGACGACTCCTCGGCCTTCAAAGCTCGCTCTGAGTCCAGCGGCCCGTTCACCGCGCTGCGCTGGGCCACGCGCCGCTTCGCCATGGAGTGTGTGTGTCGCATCATCGCTCAGTGTGAGACTTCTGACCCGGCACACTTCGACATGGCTCTGGCTCAGGAGCGCCGCCTGCAGGAGAGCACAGGTAAGACAGTGCAGAATGTTAAAGGTGTCCTACCATTCAAAATGCACTTTTTTATGTCTTCTCTACATCAACATGTGTCCCCGGTGTGTCCCCGGTGTGTCCCCGGTGTGTCCCCGGTGTGTCAGGGAACTCACAAAGTGTCAGAAAATAAAACCCTCTCTCTTTTCCTCCGTACCCACATCTCTAAAAACGGGGGAACAACAGAGCTGATCCAGATTTGCGTCCGATATGACGTAATATCTGAAATGTGGACCCACGGCCCTATCAGAAACGTTGCTATCAGAAACAATGCGCAAAGTTTTGGACGTGATATGGTCTTTGTTTACATTAGCATGGCTAACACTCAGAGCTAACCTGTACTGGAGAGAGTATGTGTAAAAAAGTAGGAAATAAAAAGGAACTCACCTTGTGGTATAACCGGCAAGAGAGAAAGCCTTTGAGCTCCATACTGTTTCAGAAAGAATCCTTGATGTGGTTTGGAACATGATAGCGTTTCATCACGGCAGCATTTAGCTGAGAATCTTTTTAAAGCTAAGGACCCAAAATCAGCCCTTCTGGGGCTGCTTCTCACTTCGGTTAAATGCAATCCTTGCGTCCCTCACTTGCGTCGTTTCCTTGCGGCTAGTCCCTCCCACCAAGGAAGCATGGAGAGACGCAAGGAAACCACGAGAAGCAGGGAAATGAGTTTTAAGAGACGTCCTTTCCTCCGGAGCGTCACGTGAAGCGACGTCCGTTTGTGATGACGCTGCACAGCTGATCGTCTGACAGCAGCTCTGTCCCCGTTGTTTTCACAAACACCCCCGCCTCTGTTAGTACACATTTATCGACACATACATTTGTATCATCTGTTGTAGACCCAAATAAATAAAATCAAATAAGAACTTATTCTCAAAAAAGATAAACGCCATTCTTAGAATGTAAAACGAAAAAAGCGATCATGAAAATGTTTCCAATAAATGAATAAAATGATTTTTGACCACTTAGTAGTTCAGATATATCACATATTTCTAACTGAATGATGCATTCATTGAAACAGAACACAGTATGAACTGAGGAGTGAGTCCCGTGAGTTTCATGTGTTTTCTTCACTCCGCTGGGAAACTGCTCTCATGTCAAGAAGCATCAGATCAGTGCATGCGCTGCATCGTCCAATCAGTGAGTGATACACAGTAAGGGGGCGGGGCGAGTCTCTGAGGATTTCACCGGAGGATGGTCTGGTGGTTCCTCGGTTATCGATCCTCCGGCACAAATAAGGCCACTGGGACGCTACTCAAGATGGCGCAGACAAATCAACTTCCGGTGATACCGAGACCGAGGAGCGAGGAAATGAAAAATAAGAGAAGTGAGACGCAGCCTCTCACAGGGCTGGAATAGAGGGATATGAGGGATTTCTAAAATGCATGATCTGTTTGGTATTTTGAGCAAAACACATCATAGACATGTTTTTTATATTCTTTTATATATCTGAGACCCATAATATATGCCCTAAAAATAGCATGATAGGAAACCTTTAAGTTGTGGACTCTGCAGACCTCCCTAACCCTCACCTTTCCCCCCCCCCCCCCCCCCCCCCCCCTCAGACTTCCTGGTGCTCCACCTGGCTGACCTGGTCCGCATGGCCTTCATGGCGGCGACGGATCACAGCGACCAGCTGAGACTGGCCGGTCTTCAGACGCTGCTGGTGATCATCAGACGCTTCTCTGCCATCCCTGAACCAGAGTTCCCCGGTCATGTGATCCTGGAGCAGTACCAGGCCAACGTAAGGACTGATCCAACTATCAAGTCAAAGTCAAAGTCAACTTTATTGTCAATCTCAAAATATGTTGTCCACACAGAAAGATGGAAATACTGTTTCCCACAGTCCCGAGGTCTAAAACAACACATTCAAATACAAGAACACTCAATGATTACAAAAAAACACAAAACAACCGTTTACTTCAAGTAAGCAGGATATATCTAAATATATATATATATATAATATGCGCCACTTAGCTTTAACATTTTCATTTATGTGTCACATTTGCTGTGACAATGCATTTGGGATCCAATTGTATTTTGTTTTGGAAGCTCGATCTCAGAGTGGAGCCAAAAGAAAACCAAACATGCTACATTCCTAATTTTCGGCACAAAAAACATTATTGGCTGTTTTTCTGTCTTTCTTTGAAGTGACGCACAAGGTCTTAAAGAAAAACAGAATACAGAGAAGTTGCAGTGTAGGGAAATGTGTATTCTGATAACCTGGAGGAGTTATTCTCACAGCTATTGTTCTGTTTTAATCTTCAAAACATCCTGTTATTATTTTCACTACTGATTCATATTTGGATTACTTTTTGCTGAATTGTTTTTATCCTATTAAACTTTAAAAAAGGAAATACATATCTGTGCTCTATTTGGATGACTGTGTGTGATACACTGATTAATGGTTATAATTGTTCATGTGTTTCATGTGCAGGTTGGAGCTGCTCTCAGACCAGCCTTCTCTGCTGACGCTCCTCCTGACGTCACCGCCAAGGCCTGCCAGGTGACCAATCAATCATCAGATATAATTTTAATTAATCTAAATGTTTACTTGTGGTGCTGCCAGGTTACAGCTGTCAGAGACTTCATCAAACACCATGTTGTGTAACCTGCTGTGACCTTTGACCCTCTGCTCTCAGGTGTGCAGCGCCTGGATAGCGAGCGGTGTGGTCAGTGACCTGCGCGACCTGCGGCGCGTCCACCAGCTCCTCGCCTCCTCATTGGCTAAAGTCCAGGCGGGGAGGGACCCGTCCAGCCAGCTGTACAACGAGGCCACCGTCACCATGGAAACACTGGCTGTCCTGAAGGCCTGGGCCGAGGTGTGTTATATCGTTTTTTATTATTTCATGATATTATTTACATTTTTCGTTTTTGCAAAGAAAAACCTTTTTTTTCACGAAATGTATACATTTTTATATGAAATGTTAGTATTGAGCCCAAAAATATATTTAAATACAGTATATTGCCTATATTTCCCTTAATATGACATATGGTTCAATTAAATAAAACAAGGATATTACAACAAGGACAAAGTAAATGTGTCTTTATTACTAAATAAAAGAGTAACTTATTTCATTTACAGCTGCCAATCTTAAAATAAAATACAAATGAAAATATATTATTTAAAAACCAAACATAATATATGTATATTCTTGGAGTAATTTTACCGAAATGTATTTATTTAGGATTAACCCTTTGAGATGAACCATATCAATTAGAAAGGGGTCCTTATTTGACTTTGATATTATCTGAATGTCTTGTGTCTCCCAGGTTTACATCGTGGCGGTTCAGAGGAGCAGACAGGAGGAGAGCTCTGATAGGACGACTGACCTCTCAGTCTCCTCCTCTCTGGCCAATGACAGCTCAGGCTCAGAGTCTGGAGGGGCGGGCCTCCTGAAGTTGGTCCAATCAGATCTGTGTACGCTGAGCCGCCTGTGGTTGTCGGCGCTGCAGGACTACGCCCTGCTGACCCTCCCTCAGGAGTACGCAGCGCAGCTACCTGACACAGGTAGGAGGAGGAGGAAGAACCAGGTCATTACTTAAAAAGGAGCACTTCAGGAACATTTATTGTTGTGGCTTGTGTATAGGCAAGGCAGGGCACGTTTATTCATACAGCACATTTCAACACAAGGCAATTCAAAGTGCTTTACAACAATGAAAGACATTAAGAGCATTAAGAATTTCATTATAAAATGGCATTTAAAAACACTCATTAATAAGCAAAGATAATAAAACATGAATAACACAGGAACATGAATGAAAGTTACAGAGCAGTGTGAGATGTGAATAGTTCAATTAAAAGTAGTCGGACCTGCAGGTTTCTGGGAGTTTGTTCCAGATGTTTGGAGCAGAACAACTGAACTTCTCCAGGTTTAGTTGTGACTCTGGGGACAGGAAGCAGAGCTGAGAGTTCTGGATGGTTCTTCATGTAGCAGCAGGTCAGAAATGTGTTTTGGGCCTAAACCATTCAGCGCTTTATAAACCAGCAGCTGTATGTAGAAGTGTCTGACTCACAGGAAGCCAGAGTAAAGACTTCAGAACTGGACTGTGATCCAGTGGGAAATAAATCCTTCTGTGTGTCGCAACCAGAGCCGAGCAGGGATGGTTATCCTTTCCAGACCATTTACATGCACAGAACCCTATAGAACACAGAACCCTATATAACACAGAACCCTATATAACACAGAACCCTATAGAACACAGAAACCTATAGAACACAGAACCCTATATAACACAGAACCCTATATAACACAGAACCCTATATAACACAGAAACCTATAGAACACAGAACCCTATATAACACAGAACCCTATAGAACACAGAAACCCTATAGAACACAGAACCCTATAGAACACAGAACCCTATATAACACAGAACCCTATAGAACACAGAACCCTATAGAACACAGAACCCTATATAACACAGAACCCTATAGAACACAGAACCCTATATAACACAGAACCCTATATAACACAGAACCCTATATAACACAGAACCCTATAGAACACAGAACCCTATAGAACACAGAACCCTATAGAACACAGAAACCTATATAACACAGAACCCTATACACAGAACCCTATAGAACACAGAACCCTATAGAACACAGAACCCTATAGAACACAGAACCCTATAGAACACAGAAACCTATAGAACACAGAAACCTATAGAACACAGAAACCTATAGAACACAGAAACCTAGAACACAGAACCCTATATAACACAGAACCCTATATAACACAGAAACACAGAACACAGAACCCTATAGAACACAGAACCCTATATAACACAGAAACCTATATAACACAGAAACCTAGAACACAGAAACCTAGAACACAGAACCCTATATAACACAGAACCCTATAGAACACAGAACCCTATATAACACAGAACCCTATATAACACAGAACCCTATATAACACAGAACCCTATAGAACACAGAACCCTATAGAACACAGAACCCTATATAACACAGAACCCTATAGAACACAGAACCCTATAGAACACAGAAACCTATATAACACAGAAACCTATAGAACACAGAACCCTATAGAACACAGAACCCTATATAACACAGAACCCTATATAACACAGAACCCTATAGAACACAGAACCCTATAGAACACAGAAACCTATATAACACAGAAACCTATATAACACAGAACCCTATAGAACACAGAACCCTATAGAACACAGAACCCTATATAACACAGAACCCTATAGAACACAGAAACCTATAGAACACAGAAACCTATAGAACACAGAACCCTATAGAACACAGAAACCTATAGAACACAGAAACCTAGAACACAGAACCCTATATAACACAGAACCCTATATAACACAGAAACCCAGAACACAGAACCCTATAGAACACAGAACCCTATATAACACAGAAACCTATATAACACAGAAACCTAGAACACAGAAACCTAGAACACAGAACCCTATATAACACAGAACCCTATATAACACAGAACACAGAACCCTATATAACACAGAAACCTATATAACACAGAAACCTAGAACACAGAACCCTATATAACACAGAACCCTATAGAACACAGAACCCTATATAACACAGAACCCTATAGAACACAGAACCCTATATAACACAGAAACCTATATAACACAGAAACCTAGAACACAGAAACCTAGAACACAGAACCCTATATAACACAGAACCCTATAGAACACAGAACACAGAACCCTATATAACACAGAAACCTATATAACACAGAAACCTAGAACACAGAACCCTATATAACACATAACCCTATAGAACACAGAAACCTATATAACACAGAAACCTATATAACACAGAACCCTATAGAACACAGAACCCTATAGAACACAGAAACCTATAGAACACAGAACCCTATAGAACACAGAAACCTATAGAACACAGAACCCTATAGAACACAGAAACCTATAGAACACAGAAACCTAGAACACAGAACCCAATAGAACACAGAAACCTATAGAACACAGAAACCTATATAACACAGAACCCTATAGAACACAGAAACCTAGAACACAGAACCCAATAGAACACAGAACCCTATAGAACACAGAAACCTATATAACACAGAAACCTATAGAACACAGAAACCTATATAACACAGAACCCTATAGAACACAGAAACCTAGAACACAGAACCCAATAGAACACAGAAACCTATAGAACACAGCAACCTATAGAACACAGAAACCTATAGAACACAGAACCCTATATAACACAGAAACACAGAACACAGAACCCTATATAACACAGAACCCTATAGAACACAGAAACCTATAGAACACAGAAACCTATATAACACAGAAACCTATAGAACACAGAAACCTATATAACACAGAACCCTATAGAACACAGAAACCTAGAACACAGAACCCAATAGAACACAGAAACCTATAGAACACAGCAACCTATAGAACACAGAAACCTATAGAACACAGAACCCTATATAACACAGAAACACAGAACACAGAACCCTATATAACACAGAACCCTATATAACACAGAAACCTATATAACACAGAAACCTATAGAACACAGAAACCTAGAACACAGAACCCTATATAACACAGAAACCTATAGAACACAGAACCCTATATAACACAGAACCCTATAGAACACAGAACCCAATAGAACACAGAAACCTATAGAACACAGAACCCTATAGAACACAGAACCCTATAGAACACAGAACCCTATAGAACACAGAACCCAATATAACACAGAAAACCTATAGAACACAGAACCCTATAGAACACAGAACCCTATAGAACACAGAAACCTATAGAACACAGAACCCTATAGAACACAGAACCCAATAGAACACAGAACCCTATATAACACAGAAACACAGAACACAGAACCCTATATAACACAGAACCCTATATAACACAGAAACCTATATAACACAGAACCCTATAGAACACAGAAACCTAGAACACAGAACCCTATATAACACAGAAACCTATAGAACACAGAACCCTATAGAACACAGAACCCTATAGAACACAGAACCCAATAGAACACAGAAACCTATAGAACACAGAACCCTATAGAACACAGAACCCTATAGAACACAGAACCCTATAGAACACAGAACCCTATAGAACACAGAACCCAATATAACACAGAAACCTATAGAACACAGAACCCTATAGAACACAGAACCCTATAGAACACAGAAACCTATAGAACACAGAACCCTATAGAACACAGAACCCAATAGAACACAGAACCCTATAGAACACAGAACCCTATATAACACAGAAACCTAGAACACAGAACCCTATATAACACAGAAACCTATAGAACACAGAAACCTATATAACACAGAACCCTAGAACACAGAACCCTATATAACACAGAAACCTATAGAACACAGAACCCTATAGAACACAGAACCCTATAGAACACAGAACCCTATAGAACACAGAACCCAATATAACACAGAACCCTATAGAACACAGAAACCTATAGAACACAGAACCCTATAGAACACAGAACCCTATAGAACACAGAAACCTATAGAACACAGAACCCTATAGAACACAGAACCCAATAGAACACAGAACCCTATAGAACACAGAACCCAATATAACACAGAACCCAATAGAACACAGAACCCTATAGAACACAGAACCCTATATAACACAGAAACCTATAGAACACAGAACCCTATATAACACAGAAACCTATAGAACACAGAACCCTATAGAACACAGAACCCTATAGAACACAGAACCCAATATAACACAGAACCCTATAGAACACAGAAACCTATAGAACACAGAACCCTATAGAACACAGAACCCTATAGAACACAGAACCCTATAGAACACAGAACCCTATAGAACACAGAACCCTATACACAGAACCCTATAGAACACAGAACCCTATAGAACACAGAACCCTATAGAACACAGAACCCTATAGAACACAGAACCCTATAGAACACAGAAACCTATATAACACAGAACCCTATATAACACAGAACCCTATAGAACACAGAAACCTATAGAACACAGAACCCTATAGAACACAGAAACCTATAGAACACAGAACCCTATACACAGAACCCTATAGAACACAGAACCCTATAGAACACAGAACCCTATATAACACAGAACCCTATATAACACAGAAACCTATAGAACACAGAAACCTATAGAACACAGAACCCTATAGAACACAGAACCCTATAGAACACAGAACCCTATAGAACACAGAACCCTATAGAACACAGAACCCTATACACAGAACCCTATAGAACACAGAACCCTATAGAACACAGAACCCTATAGAACACAGAACCCTATAGAACACAGAACCCTATAGAGCACAGAACCCTATAGAACACTCTACAGGAGAGGGAGAACCACAACAAGCAGAATAAGGACTCTTTAAATTGAGTTTGTTTTCCTCTCCTTCCTCCAGGAGGTTCTTTCTACACGGCAGAGACGGTGAACCAGGCCAGAGCTCATTACACACCTCCTCCTGGGCTCCAGTGCTCCACGCCACCCTCCCTCTGGCTGCACAGCACCGGTCAGTCCTATATTCCTGCAATATACCCTGATATATATATAAAGACATAGGCGGGTGTTAAACAGCCTGATCCCTCTTTTTGTTGCAGGTTTCTTGATGCCAGACGACCTCCTCCCTATCTCTCTCGTCCTGCCACCCCCACCTCCATGGGACAAACAGGGGGTCAGAGCCAAGAGTCCAGAGGACATCAACACCGACAGACTGCACCTCATCCTGGGTACGGGACTGGTTTTATTACAGATATATGGAGACTTAAAGGTCACCTATTATGCAACATCCACTTCTCCATGTCTCTTCTACATCAACATGTGTCCCCTCTTCTCCATGTCTCTTCTACATCAACATGTGTCCCCTCTTCTTCATGTCCCCTCTTCTTCATGTCTCTTCTACATCAACATGTGTCCCCTCTGTTTAGAGAGATGATCCATTTCTATAAAAACCTGTCTGAAAATGAGCTGATCAGATTTTGGCCACTTGATGATGTCATAACGATGTTTTGTCTTGTGTAACCATTAGCCAATCAGCAACCAAGGTAACCCCCCCCCCCCCCCCCCCCACCTTATCACACCTGAATCTCCTCCTAGAGCACCATTGAGTTCTTTGTAACCAATCTCTCTCAGAGGGGCGTGGGGAGGGGCTCCTTATTTTCATCTAAAGTAACAGACAGAGAATCAGCACTTTGGAAACAGGGCTGAAACAGAGGGGATTATGGGTTATGCTGCAATGATCTGTTTGGTGTTTCAGCCAATCAGAGACAGGCTCTGTATATATCTGAGACCTGTGATATATTGATGAGAAACAGTATAATGGGGGACCTTTAAAGTGCATGTGTTTCATTAAATTAAGTTTCTTTCTGAACTGAGTGTGGTTGTATCTCTCCTGTGTTTCAGGGATCAGTGTGGAGTTCCTGTGTTCTCCGCACTCTGCTGACCAGATGGAGAACATCACTTCCTGTCTGAGAGCTCTGCAGGCGCTGCTGGACGTCTCCTGGCCCCGAGCCAAGATCGGAAACGACCAGGTGAGACTCAGGCGGACCTGAAGCCAGACCAGAGTGCGACCAGAATCCAAACTAGATTTAAAAAGGGGACCTATCATGCAAAATGCACTTGTGTACGTCTTTTCTACATGAATATGTGTCCCCGGTGTTCCAGGGAACTCACCAAGTGTCAGAAAACACAACCCTCTCTATTTCCTCCATACCCAAATCTCTAAAAAAGGGGCTGCACGGATCTGATAAAAACTGATCCAGATTTGAACACTGTCCTGACGTCAGGACGGTGGCGCTACGGCTATTGGGCCAACTCCACCAATCAGGAGGAGACAGCCACGGCCATTGCCGTTCCAAAGCGCTGGAGACGCGTAGTACATATGCCAGGCCTGTAGATGGTGCTGTTCTCCACTGAATCAGCCCTTGCAAAAATATTGCCAAAGCGGCAAGGCAAGGCAATTTTATTTATATAGCACTTTTCAGCACGTGGCGATTCAAAGTGCTTTACACATTAAAAGCAAAAGACATTTAAGAACAAATACAGCATAAATACATTATTAAAAAGAGCATTTAAAAACAGGCATAAAATGTCAAGGATAATACAATTCAATAGTCAATAAAGAAACAATTTACAACAATATATTATTACAAAACCGCAAATATCAAATGAAGTGCTGGTTGTCTCTGAGGGTGGGACATGCGCTGACATATTCGGCTGCTTCTATGGGGCTGGCACTATTTTCTTCTCCAAGTACATGTTGCATTGTATTCTCTCTCCTCTCTCTCTGTGTTCAGGCTCTGAGTGTGGAGCTGCTCAGCGTCCTCCACAGGCTGATGGTCACCAGAGAGTCCGTCTCCGTTCAGCTCGCCGTGTTGGATCTACTGCGACAGATCGTAACGGCCGCTCACGAGCACGTCAAGGAGAAACGCCACAGCGCTGAGGGTGAACACACTATCACACACACTATCACCACACACATATCACACACACTATCACACACACTATCACACACACTATCACACACACCGTTACACACACTGTTATACATACTGTTGCGGCTGTAGTAATCCAAACAAAGTGCCGCGAGGGACTAAACAAGGGAAAAACATTGTCTGACGCGCAAGAAAACATTCTTTCCACTGATATGCGTTTGACCTTTATTAGCAAACGAAACAAGCAAACATACAATTGTTTCTGGTCCATATCCAGTATGTGATTGCATACGCGGTCAACAAACAGTGTCCTTCCCCAGCTCACTGCCCCTCCATCTATAACAAAGTGTGCCGGTAAAAGCAACCGGATATAACCGCAAACGTCACCACACAAATCCAATAGACACGCGAAAATGTGACGTAACAAACACAATGTTACACACCCTGTTACACCCAGCACCGCTACACACACTGCTACACACACTGCTCTACACACACCTGCTACACACACCTGTATACACACACTTTTACCACCACACCGCTACCACACTGCTACACACACTGATACACACACGTTACACACACCGCTACACACACTGCTACACACACTGATACACCACCTGTTATACACACTGTTACACACACTGCTACACACACTGCTAAACACACTGATACACACACTGTTATACACACTGCTACACACACTGATACACACACTGTTACACACACTGCTACACATACTGTTATACACACTGTTACACACACTGCTATACACACTGCTACACACACTGTTAGACACACTGTTATACACACTGTTACACACGCTGTTATACACACTGCTACACACACTGCTACACACACTGTTACACACACTGCTACACACACTGTTATACACACTGCTACACACACTGTTAGACACACTGTTAGACACACTGTTATACACACTGTTATACACACTGCTACACACACTGCTACACACACTGCTACACACACACACACCACATGTTACACACATGCTACACACACACATGTTACACACATGCTACACACACATGCTACACACACACATGCTACACACACTGTTACACACAAACCGCTACAACACACAACGTTAGACCACTGTTATACACACTGCTACAAACACTGTTATACACACATGCTACACACACATGTTATACACATGTTACACACATGCTACACACACACATGTTACACACACATGTTACACACACACATGTTACACACACACCACATGTTACACACATGCTACACACACATGTTACACACACTGTTACACACCACATGTTACACACATGCTACACACACCACATGTTACACACACCACATGTTATACACACGCTACACACTGTTTAGACACACTGTTATACACACTGCTACACACCTGTTATACACACTGCTACACCAACTGTTATACACACTGTTATACACACTGTTACACACACTGTTATACACACTGCTACACACACTGCTACACACACTGCTACACACACTGTTATACACACTGCTACACACACTGTTAGACACACTGTTAGACACACTGTTATACACACTGTTATACACACTGCTACACACACTGCTACACACACTGTTACACACACTGCTACACACACTGTTACACACACTGCTACACACACTGTTAGACACACTGTTAGACACACTGTTATACACACTGCTACACACACTGCTACACACACTGCTACACACACTGTTACACACACTGTTACACACACTGCTACACACACTGCTACACACACTGCTACACACACTGCTACACACACTGTTACACACACTGTTACACACACTGCTACACACACTGCTACACACACTGTTATACACACTGTTATACACACTGTTATACACACTGCTACACACACACTGCTACACACACACTGCTACACACTGTTATACACACTGTTATACACACTGTCTACACACTGTTATACACACGCTACACACACCACATGTTACACACACTGTTATACACACTGCTATACACACTGCTACACACACCTGCTGACACACACTGCTATACACACTGTTATACACACTGTTACACACACTGCTACACACACTGTTACACACACTGTTATACCACTGTTATACACACTGCTACACACACTGTTATACACACTGCTACACACACACTGCTATACACACTGTTATACACACTGTTACACACACTGCTATACACACTGTTACACACACACTGCTACACACACTGTTATACACACTGCTACACACACTGCTATACACACTGTTATACACACTGTTACACACACTGTTATACACACTGCTACACACACTGCTACACACACACACACACACACTGTTATACACACTGTCTACACACACTGCTACACACACTGTTATACACACTGCTACACACACTGCTATACACACTGTTATACACACTGTTATACACACTGTTATACACACTGCTACACACACTGCTATACACACTGTTATACACACTGTTACACACACTGCTACACACACTGTTACACACACTGCTACACACACTGCTATACACACTGTTACACACACTGTTACACACACTGCTACACACACTGTTACACACACTGCTCACACCACTGTTATCACACTGTTACACCACTGCTACACACACTGTTATACACACTGTTATACACACTGCTACACACACTGTTACACACACTGCTATACACACTGTTACACACACTGCTACACACACTGTTATACACACTGCTACACACACTGTTACACACACTGCTACACACACTGTTATACACACTGTTACACACACTGTTACACACACACTGCTACACACACTGTTACACACACTGTTACACACAACACTGCTACACCACACTGTTATACACACTGTTACACACACTGCTACACACACTGTTATACACACTGTTACACACACTGCTACACACACTGTTACACACACTGCTATACACACTGTTACACACACTGCTACACACACTGCTATACACACTGTTATACACACTGTTATACACACTGTTACACACACTGTTACACACACTGTTACACACACTGTTATACACACTGCTATACACACTGCTACACACACTGCTACACACACTGCTATACACCTGTTATACACACTGCTACCACACACTGTTTAACACACTGTTATACACACTGCTACACACACTGTTACACACTGTTACACACACTGTTATACACACTGCTATACACACTGCTACACACACTGCTACACACACTGCTATACACACTGTTATACACACTGTTACACACTGCTACACACACTGTTACACACACTGTTATACACACACTGTTATACACACTGCTACACACACTGTTATACACACTGCTACACACACTGCTATACACACTGTTATACACACTGTTACACACACTGCTATACACACTGTTACACACACTGCTACACACACTGTTATACACACTGCTACACACACTGCTATACACACTGTTATACACACTGTTACACACACTGTTATACACACTGCTACACACACTGCTACACACACTGCTACACACACTGTTATACACACTGTTACACACACTGCTACACACACTGTTATACACACTGCTACACACACTGCTATACACACTGTTATACACACTGTTATACACACTGTTATACACACTGCTACACACACTGCTATACACACTGTTATACACACTGTTACACACACACTGCTACACACACTGTTACACACACTGCTACACACACTGCTATACACACTGTTACACACACTGTTACACACACTGCTACACACACTGTTACACACACTGCTACACACACTGCTACACACACTGCTACACACACTGTTATACACACTGTTATACACACTGCTACACACACTGTTACACACACTGCTATACACACTGTTACACACACTGCTACACACACTGTTATACACACTGCTACACACACTGTTACACACACTGCTACACACACTGTTATACACACTGTTACACACACTGTTACACACACTGCTACACACACTGTTACACACACTGTTACACACACTGCTACACACACTGTTATACACACTGTTACACACACTGCTACACACACTGTTATACACACTGTTATACACACTGCTACACACACTGTTACACACACTGCTATACACACTGTTACACACACTGCTACACACACTGCTATACACACTGTTATACACACTGTTACACACACTGTTACACACACTGTTATACACACTGCTATACACACTGCTACACACACTGCTACACACACTGCTATACACACTGTTATACACACTGCTACACACACTGCTATACACACTGTTATACACACTGCTACACACACTGTTACACACACTGTTATACACACTGCTATACACACTGCTACACACACTGCTACACACACTGTTATACACACTGCTATACACACTGCTACACACACTGCTACACACACTGCTATACACACTGTTATACACACTGCTACACACACTGCTATACACACTGTTATACACACTGCTACACACACTGTTACACACACACTGATACACACACTGCTACACACACTGCTACACACACACTGCTATAACACACTTACACACACACTGCTACACACACTGTTATACACACTGTTATACACACTGCTACACACACTGTTACACACACTGTTATACACACTGCTACACACACTGCTATACACACTGTTATACACACTGCTACACACACTGTTACACACACTGTTATACACACTGCTACACACACTGCTATACACACTGTTATACACACTGCTATACACACACTGCTACACACACACTGCTACACACACTGCTATACACACTGCTACACACACTGTTACAACACACTGCTACACACACTGCTATACACACTGCTATACACACTGTTAGACACACCGCTAAACGGTAACACACACTATACACACACTGTAACACACACCTGCTACACACACTGCTACACACACTGTTATACACACTGTTATACACACTGTTATAACACACTGCTACACACACTGCTACACACACTGTTACCACACTGTTATAACACACTGTTACACAGATTCTCTAATTCTACTCTATAAATCTTTGAACTCCAGAGGAACCATTTCCTAGATCTTCTTCCTACTGATAACAAAACAAATGAGAAACAAACAAAACTCACAAACTGAATGTTGTCGTTTAAACACTTTATTGTTCTTTTATGTATAAAGAAAGCGTAATGAGACAGTATGAAGTTGACTGTGTTCTGGTTTTATGTTTCAGTATTTGTAAGCAACTGTGACTGAAGAATATTGCTTTGATTTGACTTTTTAATGGTTTTTCATTTTTATAAGAAGGGGCAGATCAAATAAGATGTTCTTCTCCCTGCTCCTTTCACCATGTGCTATGAAACAAACAACCCGTATAAGTGTACATGTTTTGTAAAGTGTACATGTTTTGTTTTAAAATACTGCCATGGTGGAATAAGCAAATAAATAAATACGTTATTGTTCCTCAGTTGGATGACGGTGCATCAGAGAAGGAGACGCTGCCTGAGTTCGGAGAGGGACGGGACACCGGCGGTTTTGATCCCCGGGCGCTCGCTGGTGTTCGGAGCGCTGGAGCTCTGCCTCTGTGTTCTGGTCCGGAAACTTCCACAGCTCAGCCCCAAACTGGCCGGGACCAGTCCAACTGGTGAGAGGAGGGGGGGGGCGAAAATAGGGGAAATGGTGTTGTAAAGATGAGACTAGAGTGCATTTTGTAATAGGTCCCCTTTAAGTAAGTTTATTGTGGGAGAGCTAAGAAACAGTTTGAAAGAGGTTGAAACTACGTGATATGTATTGTTGTCATATGATACAGCCCTAATGTATACAGGAGCAGGAATGTAGCTAAACATGGATGTGAAGGCAGTTCTCTGTTTATTTAGATGTGATTAAAATAAAATAGAAAATGTTTGTCACTTAAAATAGTTCATAATCCTGATTATCTTTTTGAACTTAATCGTGCAGGATAGTGTGTGTTCAGTGACGACACGTGTCGTTTCAATTTCCTTTAGCAAGCTTTTTTTTTAAAGGTAATTGAAAACAGCACTTTTTAAAAGTCATGGAAAGTGTTTTGATATCTGAAAAGGTGTGTTAAATGAATTACAGTCTAATGTTACAATGAGAGAAGATTTTCAACACAGAGCCCCCCCCCCCCCCCTCCCGACATAATGAATCCCAATTTAAACCCTTGATGACAGCTTCAAGATACCACCCCGTTATAAGAAAACACACAGCTGGTATGTGATCAGAACACACTCTGACCACTTCAGTGTGTGTGTGTGTGGTGTGTGTGTGTGTGTGTGTGTGTGTGTGTGTGTGTGTGTGTGTGTGTGTGTGTGTGTGTGTGTGTGGTGTGTGTGTGTGTGTGTGTGTGTGTGTGTGTGTGTGTGTGGTCTCTCTCTGTTGTCTGTGTGTGTGTGTGTGTGTGTGTGTGGTGTGTGTGTGTGTGTAATGTGTGTGTGTGTGTGGTGTTCAGGTCCTGGAGGTTCAGTGTGGAGTTTGACTGACACCGACTGTCAGCTGGTGGCCTCCGCTCTGTGTGTCCTCTCCGACCTGCCGTCCATCTGCTCCCCCGAAGGTCAGATGCTAATGCTAATGCTAACATGCTAACTAAATGTTTCCCTGATGTGTTTTTGTTGTCTCACTGACTCTTGACCCGATGCTTGTTCGTCGTCCTGCAGGCAGCGTGTCCATCCTCCCCTCCGTCCTCTACCTGCTGCTGGGAGTCCTCAGAGAGCTGGTGCACCTGCCCAGCAGCCAGCCTGGTAACACACACACACACACACACACACACACACACACACACACCACA